TTTGAATTATTGCAGAAGTCTCCTGGTAGGTATTTCTACCTCTACTGTTCCCCTTCTCTCACTCCCCCCAATCCATCCTTCACTCTTCTGACAGACTAATTTTCTTTATGCACAGCTATAATCATGTCATTCCTCTCCTCAAAATCCTTCAATTGGTTTCTACTACCTATGAAATAAAGTTCAATTTCCTTTTATAAGCATTCAGGCCCTCTAGATCTGGTACTACCCTACATTTCCATCTTTATTTTATGCTATTCCTCTCCACTTATGCTGTGCTCTATGTAAATATGATGACCAAGCCATCATCCATACATATCCAAGTGGTGAAGTGGATAGAGCACCAGATCCTGAGGTCAGGAAGAAGACAGGAATTCAAATCTGCTCTTATTCACTAATTGTATGATCATAGGCAAGTCATTTAACTTCTCTTTACCTTAGTTTCTTCATCTATAAAATAGATATAATAATAGGAACTATCTCTAAGAGTGGTTATGAGTATAAACAGATAATTGTAAAGGTCTCTGTAAACCTTAAAGTACTATGTAAATGCTAATTGTTATTTTTATTTATTATTTTTATTATAATTATTATTTATCACTGATTCTGTGCCTTTTTTTTCACACTGTCCCTTGATTGCCAGAATGCCTCCATGCTCTCCAGTTCTACCTGCTGAAATCATACCTATTATTTTTTAAGACAATGTTATTTTCCCTCTTTATTTTAAATTTTTATTATTATTTTATTAAAATCAGCAAAAATCCATCTTCTTTTTCCTTTCTCCACAAATTGAGAAAGAAAGAAAAACAAAACTACTGATAAGCACATATAGTCAAGTAAAATGAATTTCTGCTTTGGCCATGTCCAAAAATATGTCTCAATCTGCACTCTGAATCCATCATCTATCAGCAGGTGGGTAGTACGTTTTATCATTAGTTACCTGCAATGTCGGTCATTCCATTGATCAGTGTTCCTAGGTCTTTAAAAGTTATTACCGTTACAACGTAGTTTCCTTATTGTTTGCCTTACTCTAGATTAGTTTTCCAAGGTTTCTCTGATATTTTCATCACTGTACTCCATCATATTTAATACACCACAACTTGTTTTCTCATTTTTGCTAGGTAAATTGTTCTTGGTTCTAAACATTTGCCTTCTGGAATATCTTATTCCAAGCTCTATACTGCTTTTAGTGATGTTTGCCAAATCTGATGTGATCTTGATTGTTCCTCAGTACTAGAATTCGTTTTCTTTTTTTCTGCCTGCTTACAATATTTTTTCTTTGATTTGGAAGTTCTAGATTTTGGCTAAAATGTTCTTGGATTTCTCATTTGGGAATTTCTTTCAGGAGGTGATCATATGATTCTAGCTCCATTACGTCTTCTAGTTCTAAGAAATCTGGATAATTTTATTATTTTTTGAAATATAGTATTCAGGTTCTTTTTTTTTTTTTTTTATTGTGGCCTTCAGGTAATCCAGTGGACTATTAAATTATTTTTCCTTGATTTTCCATATTAGTTGTTTTTTGCTATGAGATACCTTATTTTTTTCTATTTTATTTTATTTTTTACTTTTTAGTTTTGTTTTATTTTTTTTGTCCCATGGAGTCACTAACCTCTATTTGGTCTGTTCTAATTTTCAGGGAGTTTGCTGTTTGAGAAAGATTATGCACCTCTTATGCCAACCTGTTGATTTCCTTCTTAATTTTTTCTTTTATAATTCTCACTTACTTTTCCAATTTTTCCTCTCTAATCCTCAAATTTCATTTATAAAAAAAGTTAACTCAAAAAAAATACAAAAATCTGTTGCTTCAGCTCTTGCAATTATTCTAGCTGAACTTGTACCCAAACTATATTTTTCTTTGAAGATTTGCTTGTAAATTTTTGGAGTTATTCTCTTCTTTTGGGTGTGCATCTTACCATCCTTATCACCATAATGGTTTTCTATGTTTGGTCATTCTTCTAGCCTACTTCCTACTTCAGTTTTCATATGAGGACAGTGCTCTGCGTGTTTCTGGAGGAAATGTCTGAGTTGGTTTTGCTGCTGCTTTCTTGGGTTACTGAATATTGAGCTATCTTAGGATCTCAGGGAAAACCTGGGCCTTAGAAGCTTTCAGTGCTTCCAAAATTGTCTGATCCCGGGTGAACTCTAATTGACATCTGTGGGTTTGTCTCAGTTAGAGTTTCAGTACACTGCTGCTGGATTTACCTGCTATCAGACAGTTGAAAAGATCTGCTGATTGAGAGTGAGAAAACTGCAGGTTCCCTTTTGCTTTGGGATTCCTGCCTTAGTTATGATTCCACTGCTGGGCTGGAGGCAGGAACTGAGACCCCATTATGCTCCTGGAGTCAGAACTGCACAACTGCTCATTGCTTCTGAACTTACTCCTTGCTAGGTACATAACCTGAGGCTCACAACTGCTCCTCACCTTGGAATGCCGCATCTATGGGCAGGTCCCCTTCTCATTGAGCCCTGGATCTGTGACTTGGAACTGGGTAGTGAGTAACTGACTGGACCTCGATTTGTTGGATTTGGACCTCTTCTTTCGCTGGTGCATAGCCTCTCCCTGCGCTGGAATGCTCTCTTGTCACTATTCCTGGCTAGACTCCCATCCCCAGTATCTGTAGACCTTTCTGTCTGTCTCCCTATGCTGACCTGGGCTAGGAAAAGGCCTCAGTTTTACTTTTTCCCTTAGGTTTTCTAATCAGTACTTGGTCTGGTGCATTTTCTAGTTCTATATGGAGGCAG